TTCATGAAATAAATGAAATTTGAACTTGACTTAAAAATAAAAGAAAACAAATACAAACCGGTACTAAATACACTTAAAGAAATAAACGTTAAAAATGTGAAACTCTTAAATGAAGCAAAAAGTTCCAAAAATTTTTTTGTATTCTAAAGTTCTTAGTTAGTTAGTTAGTTAGTTAGTTAGTTAGTTAGTAGTTAGTTAGTAGTTAGTTAGTTAGTAGTTAGTTAGTAGTTAGTTAGTTAGTTAGTTAGTTAGTAGTTAGTTAGTTAGTTAGAGTTAGTTAGTTAGTAGTTAGTTAGTTAGTAGTTAGTTAGTTAGTTAGTTAGTTAGTTAGTTAGTTAGTTAGTTAGTTAGTTAGTTAGTAGTTAGTAGTTAGTTAGTTAGTTAGTTAGTTAGTAGTTAGTTAGTTAGTTAGTAGTTAGTTAGTTAGTTAGTTAGTTAGTTAGTTAGTTAGTTAGTTAGTTAGTTAGTTAGTTAGTTAGTTAGTTAGTTAGTTAGTAGTTAGTTAGTTAGTTAGTTAGTTAGTTAGTTAGTTAGTTAGTTAGTTAGTAGTTAGTTAGTTAGTAGTTAGTTAGTTAGTTAGTTAGTTAGTTAGTTAGAGTAGTTAGTTAGTTAGTTAGTTAGTTAGTTAGTTAGTTAGTTAGTTAGTTAGTTAGTTAGTTAGTTAGTTAGTTAGTTAGTTAGTTAGTTAGTTAGTTAGTAGTTAGTTAGTTAGTTAGTTAGTTAGTTAGTTAGTTAGTTAGTTAGTAGTTAGTTAGTTAGTTAGTTAGTTAGTTAGTTAGTTAGTTAGTTAGTTAGTTAGTTAGTTAGTTAGTTAGTTAGTTAGTTAGTTAGTAGTTAGTTAGTTAGTTAGTTAGTTAGTTAGTTAGTTAGTAGTTAGTTAGTTAGTTAGTTAGTTAGTTAGTTAGTTAGTTAGTTAGTTAGTTAGTTAGTTAGTTAGTTAGTTAGTTAGTTAGTTAGTTAGTTAGTTAGTTAGTTAGTTAGTTAGTTAGTTAGTTAGTTAGTTAGTTAGTTAGTTAGTTAGTTAGTTAGTTAGTTAGTTAGTAGTTAGTTTAGTTAGTTAGTTAGTTAGTTAGTTAGTTAGTTAGTTAGTTAGTTAGTTAGTTAGTTAGTTAGTTAGTTAGTTAGTAGTTAGTTAGTTAGTTAGTAGTTAGTTAGTTAGTTAGTTAGTTAGTTAGTTAGTTAGTTAGTTAGTTAGTTAGTTAGTTAGTTAGTTAGTTAGTTAGTTAGTTAGTTAGTTAGTTAGTTAGTTAGTTAGTTAGTTAGTTAGTTAGTTAGTTAGTTAGTTAGTTAGTTAGTTAGTTAGTTAGTTAGTTAGTTAGTTAGTTAGTTAGTTAGTTAGTTAGTAGTTAGTAGTTAGTTAGTAGTTAGTTAGTTAGTTAGTTAGTAGTTAGTTAGTAGTTAGTTAGTAGTTAGTAGTTAGTTAGTTAGTTAGTTAGTTAGTTAGTTAGTTAGTTAGTTAGTTAGTTAGTTAGTTAGTTAGTTAGTTAGTTAGTTAGTTAGTTAGTTAGTTAGTTAGTTAGTTAGTTAGTTAGTTTAGTTAGTTAGTTAGTTAGTTAGTTAGTTAGTTAGTTAGTTAGTTAGTTAGTTAGTTAGTTAGTTAGTTAGTTAGTTAGTTAGTTAGTTAGTTAGTTAGTTAGTTAGTTAGTTAGTTAGTTAGTTAGTTAGTTAGTTAGTTAGTTAGTTAGTTAGTTAGTTAGTTAGTTAGTTAGTTAGTTAGTTAGTTAGTTAGTTAGTTAGTTAGTTAGTTAGTTAGTTAGTTAGTTAGTTAGTTAGTTAGTTAGTTAGTTAGTTAGTTAGTTAGTTAGTTAGTTAGTTAGTTAGTTAGTTAGTTAGTTAGTTAGTTAGTTAGTTAGTTAGTTAGTTAGTTAGTAGTTAGTTAGTTAGTTAGTTAGTTAGTTAGTTAGTTAGTTAGTTAGTAGTTAGTTAGTTAGTTAGTTAGTTAGTTAGTTAGTTAGTTAGTTAGTTAGTTAGTTAGTTAGTTAGTTAGTTAGTTAGTTAGTTAGTTAGTTAGTTAGTTAGTTAGTTAGTTAGTTAGTTAGTTAGTTAGTTAGTTAGTTAGTTAGTTAGTTAGTTAGTTAGTTAGTTAGTTAGTAGTTAGTTAGTTAGTTAGTAGTTAGTTAGTTAGTTAGTAGTTAGTTAGTTAGTTAGTTAGTTAGTTAGTTAGTTAGTTAGTTAGTTAGTTAGTTAGTTAGTAGTTAGTTAGTTAGTTAGTTAGTTAGTTAGTTAGTTAGTTAGTTAGTTAGTTAGTTAGTTAGTTAGTTAGTTAGTTAGTTAGTTAGTTAGTTAGTTAGTTAGTTAGTTAGTTAGTTAGTTAGTTAGTTAGTTAGTAGTTAGTTAGTTAGTTAGTTAGTTAGTTAGTTAGTTAGTTAGTTAGTTAGTTAGTTAGTAGTTAGTTCACCCATGACCTTTTGAATACTAACCTTCCCTTTAAATTTCATATTATTCCCATTTGCTTTCAATAATCACTTACTCGAAGGACTATTTAACTTTTTTAATTGATTTTCTTGTTGTTGGCAAACAGTTGTAAGCAAAATATTTCATTATAATAAGAAAATATTTCTGTTTGCTAATTTCCCTTAAGAAACATAGAAATATTTTATAATTTCATAAATTTAATAATTTACTTTTTAATACAAAAAGCACACACACACAAACAACAAAGTTTTTTTTACAACATCCATACACAAGAAAAACACTTAAGTGTAAAAGACAATAAAATCCATTACTCGAAGGCTTTCTTATGTTTTTAATAATGTAAACATATTGAAAGGATATAAAGAAATTTGTTGTTGTTGGCAGGCAGGCTAAAATGCCAAAATAAACAGGCTTAAGTACTTTTCTGCATAACATTAATAACTTCTCTAGGGGAGATAATAACTTTTAACTAAAGTTTAACTAAACTTAGTTTAAGAAATGTACGGATAAAAACAAAAACATTAACAGGAACATTTTTAACAAAAATTTTAAATTTTGTATAAAAAGTACTAAAAAAGTACTTTTTGTTCTATTAAAACTAAAACAATGTTCTATATTTAGGCCGCTAAGCAGCATCTTCAAAACCCCAAACTTTCTGTGTTACAAAAAAAATCCTTAAAACTAGGAGCTTCCTTTCTTCTGCTGCTTATTGTTTGCAAATACAAAATTTATTAAGTCTGTATTGTTTTGGGTCATATAATAATAAAGTTGTAAATGTTTTTGGGGCATAAAATTCAATTGAATATGCCACCTAATGTAATAAAATATGAGAATTAACTTAGAAAATATGTAAATTCTCCCAAACGAACTCAAATAAACAAAATTTTACTTTTAAACCTCTTTACTCATATTAACAGTTCTGCTGGCAAACTCTTTCCCTTCTAGCCACACACACACACGTATACATACACTCTTATTCACACACATTTGCACAAACAAATTATAACGGCTACAAGAGAACAGCTAAATCTAATTTCAGTTTTTTATTTGTTGTAAGGGTTCAAAACACCAGCAACAACAACTAAACACGAAAAATTTAAAAGAAAAACATATTGTTTTTGTTTATTGGAGGAAAAATGGCTAAACAAACCTATTGAAATAAAGTTTTTTTGTAATTTAAGGGTTTTATGTGTGAGGCTTGTTTAGCAAAGAAAACAAATATGCTGAAATTATAAAATAATTGGATATAAATTGAAAAATTAAAAAGAAAAAAGTTGAACACACAATAAATAATAAAAAAAATGTTTGCTTAAAATAAGCATAAGAGGGAGAGAAGTGTTAATTGCTTAAAATTTAAAGAAATAAAAAAGCTTAAATTAAGATAAAACTCAAAAAATATGGCAGCCTGCAAAAAAATTTTGTTATAGAAAGAATAGATTTCCTATTAAATATCATAAAATGCTATTAAACTTCGCTAAACTCTGATTTTCGCAGTTTAACTAAACTTGGTTTTAACAAGTTTAAGGTTTAAAAATCAAGTTTTTGGGCATAAAATATTCATAGAAATATTGTTCTTAACTAAAATCTATACTTATGCATAAATTAAAAATGTTTATAGCATTATCTGCTAAATAAGTGGCAACACTGAAAAAAAGTTTATATGAAAATAATAATATGTTTATGAACTATTATTTATAAGTACTTAATTTCACTAAACTCTCGTTTTCCAAGTTTAACTAAACGTGGTTTAAACAAGTTTAAGGTTTAAAAGTCAAGTTTTTTGACTTAGAATAACCATAGAAATATTATACAAGACTAAAAATTATGATTTTGTATAAATTAAACATTTTAATAGCATTTTCTGTTAAATAAGTGGCAACACTGAAAAAAATTTTATGGAAAAATAATAATATTTTTATGAACAATTATTTATAAGTACTTAATTTCAATAAACTCTCGTTTTCCAAGTTTAACTAAACTTGGTTTAAACAAGTTTTAGGTTTAAAAGTCAAGTTTTTGGACTTAGAACAACCATAGAAATATTATACAAGACTAAAAAATATGATTTTGTAAAAATTTGACATTTTTATAGCATTTTCTGCTAAATAAGTGGCAACACTGAAAAAAATTTTATGGGAAAAGAATTATATTTTTATGAACTATTATTTATAAGTACTTAATTTCACTAAACTCTCGTTTTCCAAGTTTAACTAAACTTGGTTTATACAAGTTTAAGGTTTAAAACTCAAGTTTTTGGACTTAGAATAACCATAGAAATATTATACAAGACTAAAAATTATGATTTTGTAAAAATTTTACATTTTTATAGCATTTTCTGTTAAATAAGTGGCAACACTGAAAAAATTGTTATGGGAAAATAATTATATTTTTATGAACTATTATTTGTAAGTACTTAATTTCACTAAACTTTCGTTTTCCAAGTTTAACTAAACTTGGTTTAACAAAGTTTAAGTTCTAAAAATCATATGTTTGCTTTTCAAATTTTTCTAGAAATATTTTACAAAATAAATTTTGAAAATTTATAAATTTTTTTTTTTACTTTTTTACAAATATCTACTAAAAATATGGCAACACTTAAAAAAACTTTACAGGAAAAGCCAGTTTAAGACTTTAAAATTAAATTTTAAGATTTTAAATTATTTCCATAATGATAAGGTTACTTAAAAAACTGTTATTTTGTATATTTTTAGATACTGTGTGGAATTTGAAGTTTTAAGGACTTCCAAGGCTTGTCACAAATTACCGCCCTACAATTTATTGATAGAAGGTAAAGAGAACTCAAAATCTATCTCTATAAATATTTTCTTTACTAATAAACCCTCTCTCTCTCTCTTTTAATCATTGTAAAGGTGATCGCATAGTAGTACGCTGTGACGTGGAAGCTTTCATCCAGGACTTTGCTGCCTCCACAGACAACAATCTAACTTCATCAACTTTAAAATCTAAACATCACAATGACTCGTTATACAATAAAATAGACTTAGGCACCAGTTCGACGGAGGAGGATTTAAATGACAGTGATGAAAATATGATTGACAATAGCAGCAGCAGCAGTAGTAGTAGTGATGAACATGATGATTACGATACGGCCTCATTAACGATTAAAACTACATCCACTACTACCACAACAACGACTACAACTACTACCACACCTTATCCACCGCCACAATCTATACAGTATCATTGTCGTGGCGAGGGTTTACCCGGTCGCACTACAAGATGGAGTGCTTTGGCAGCGCCCTCATGCCGAGGCAAATGGTTAAGATTGACTCTGGATACACCGAAAAAATGTACACATGCACAGTTTATATTCGTTTAAGGCAGAGCGTAAGCGGTAGAGCAAGAGTGCTTAACTAGTTTTTTGTACAATTAGTTTGGAAAAAAAAATTATAAAAATTTACTAATAATTTCATTAAAATTTTAATTTTTCTTAAAATTTTTATTAAAATTTTTATAAAAACCTTAAATTGTCTTAATTTGAAATCATATTTAGTAGTTAAACTTTCTTAAACTTTTCTTTTCCTAGTTTAACTAAACTTGGTTAAATTGAGTTTAAGTCTTAAAAATGTTATCAAACGTTTTTAAACATTCCTAAAACCTTTAAACAACATAAATTTTTAGCAGTGATGCCATATTTTTGCTATTTTTAAAACTTTATAACAAAAATATGGCAACCCCGAAATTTATATTTTTACCAAAATGTTTATTTTTTATCCCTATTTTATAAAATGGGCTTAAATTTAGCTAAACTTTAATTTAATGATTTAACCTAAGCCTAGTTTAACAAATTTTAAGACATTCTCTAAGACCAAATTTATTTAAAAGATTTCTTATCATCCCTAAAGTTTAGGGCCTAAATTCAATTTATGTGGGAAATTCTTTAATTTTGGTCAAATAGAAGAGTTTTTTTACAAAAATTCTGCGAAAAATATGACAACACCCAAAAAAATTTGTCATACAATTTAAGGACTTTTGATGAAGTTTCATATTATGGGGTTATATTTCACTAAACTTTGTTTTTGCAAGTTTAACTAAACTCGTTTAATCCAAGTTTAAGTTTTTAAAAATCCAGAATACGAATGTTTAATGTATGCAAACATATTTTATAATAAAATTTTTTTAATTTTTTGCATTATTTAAGAATTTTTACGCAAAAAACTGCTAATAATATGGCAACACCCAAAAAATTTTGTCATACTAATTAAAGACTTTTGATGAAGTATCTTTTTGTGGTAAAATTTTGCACTAATCTTAGTTTTTTCAAGTTTAACTAAACTCGATTAAAGCAAGTTTAAGGTTTAAAATCCCAAGTTTAAGATTCTTGGATATCTGTAATAACAATAAACAATATTATTTTTTTATTCAAAAAATTATTTGGTGATTTTTTATTACAATTTGTTTAAATTTCCAAATTTTGGTTAAAACTTAAAAGTCAATTAATTTTGTAACTTATTTGAAAGATTATTTTAACATTTATTTCTCTTCAAACCTATACTCATACTTACATACATACATAATCACACAAAATGAAACCTTAATTATTTCATTATTATACTAAACTCACACATGATTATTTTTAAACTTTTACTAGCTTTAAGACTATAAAAAAAACTCATACTAATATTAACGGAATAAAAATAAATCTATAAAATTATAAGAAAAAAAATATTGTTCATAATTATAAGTTTCATTCATCAGACAAAAAACAAACATTTAAAAAAAATTACGATAAAAAACAAACATCACTTGATTAAACACACTAATGGGCAAACAAGGAGTAAAAATATATGAAAATTACATTAATAAATTTCCATAAATTTAAGCAAATGAAATAAATAATAATGTTTAGATTTACCTTTCTTTAAGAAAAATCATATATAAAAACAAAAATATAAGTAATAATAACAAAAAAAATTATAAGAAAACAAATAAGTATGAATAAAAAAATATAATTTTAAATATAAAATTAAAAAAAATTATAGATTTTATTGCATAAGGGAATAAAAATGTCAAGTAAGTAAGAATTAAACTATTTTATTAAGCTTATCAAATTTAATTACAAAACGAGTGCTGAATTATGAAAAAATTTCACAATGAATCAGACAATTTCTAAAGATTTGCAAAATTTTTAAAATCGGGGGATTTCCTAGTTAAAAATCTAATACATTACAGCAACTTACAGAATAACGCTTAATAGTATTATAATTTTATATGATAGTTTTAACCATTTTTCTTTAAAATTCTGCGAAAAATATGGCAACTCTCCAAAAATTTTATTTACAAAATAAATATAATTTTATTATCTTTCATATTAAGCTATTCAAATTCCCTAAACTTCCGTTTTCCAAGTTTAACTAATCTCGGTTAAATAAAGTTTAAGGCTTGAAAATCTAGTTTTCAACTAGTTACTAACAGTAGAATCGCTTTACCAAATAGTTTTTAAAATTTTTGCTATATTTTGTCTTTTTTCTCTAAAACTTTGCAAAAAATATGGCAACACTAAAAAATTTAAGTGTGAAAATAAATATAATTTTATTGTCTTTCATATTAAGACATTAAAATTCATTAAACTACCGTTTTCCAAGTTTAACTAAACTCGGTTTAACAAAGTTTAAGGCTTAAAAATCTAGTTTTCAACTGTTTAATAACAGTAAACCCGTTTTACCAAATAGTTTTCAACATTTTCGTAATATTTTACCTTTTTGCTCAAAAATTTTGCTAAAAATATGGCAACACTGTAAACATTTTTGTATGAAAATAAATATAATTTGATTGTTTTTCTTATTAAAGTGTTCAAATTCACTAAACTTCTTATATCCAAGTTTAACTAATCTTGGTTTAACAAAGCTTAAGGCTTAAAAATCTAGTTTTCAACTGTTTAATAACAGTAAACCCGTTTTACCAAATAGTTTTTAATATTTTCGTAATATTTTACCTTTTTGCTCAAAAATGTTGCTAAAAATATGGCAACACTGCAAAAATTTGTGTGTGAAAATATATATAATTTGATTGTCATTCTTATTAAAATGTTTAAATTCACTAAACTTCTTATATCCAAGTTTAACTAAACTCGGTTTAACAAAGTTTAAGGATTGAAAATCTATTTTTCAACTGTTTAATAACAGTAAACCCGTTTTACGAAATAGTTTTTAAAATTTTCGCCATAGTTTGTCTTTTTCCTCTAAAACTTTGCAAAAAATATGGCAACACTCTAAAAATGTTAATGTGAAAATAAATATAATTTTATTGCCTTTTTTTATATTCAAATTCACTAAACTTCTGTTTTCCAAGTTTAACTAAACTCGGTTTAACAAAGTTTAAGGCTTGAAAATTTAGTTTTTAACTATTTACTAACAGTAGAATCGTTTTACGAAATAGTTTTTAAAATTTTCGCCATAGTTTATCATTTTCCTCTAAAACTTTGCAAAAAATATGGCAACACTAAAAAAATTTAAGTGTGAAAATAAATATAATTTTATTGTCTTTCATATTAAGGTGTTCAAATTCACTAAACTTCCGTTTTCCAAGTTTAACTAAACTCGGTTTAACAAAGTTTAAGGCTCGAAAATCTAGTTTTCAACTATTTACTAACAGCAGAATCGTTATACGAAATAGTTTTTAAAATTTTTGCCATATTTTATCTTTTTTCTCTAAAACTTTGCAAAAAATATGGCAACACTATAAAAATTTTAGTGTGAAAATAAATATAATTTTATTGTCTTCCATATTAAGGTATTCAAATTCATTAAACTTCAGATTTCCAAGTTTAACTAATCTCGATTTAACTAAGTTTAACAATTTACAACTCCCAACTGTGGATTGAAAACAAATCATTAAAAAGTTCTTGTTAGAACACAAAAACGGTAAGTTTATTATATCTTCATTATAATTAATAACTCCCAGCACTGGCTTGTTTACATTTGCAACATAACTGCTATATCAACATAACAGTAGATGTAAAAGAATAACAATAACATACATAGAAAAAACTTAAAGTTGCCATATCAAAGCAATATAAACATCCAAGTAATTCCTTTAATCACCTACACATATTGTTAAAAAGACTAGTTTAAGTTGTTTTTGCTAGTTTCTAAAATTTTACAATGATATTAAGATTCCTATAAAATATGGTTATGTCGAATTTCATTGCTATACCTGCTTTTTTTAGTCAGTTATGAGCGTTAATGTCATTTTCTGAGGGGGACCTTATATGGGGGATAGGGTCAATTATGGACCGATCCTTATAAAATTTTACAATGATACTAAGATTCCTAAAAAATATGATTATGTCGAATTTCATCGCTATAGCTGCTTCTTTTAGTCAGTTATGAGCGTTAATGTCATTTTCTGAGGGGGGCCTTATATGGGGGCTAGGCGAAATCGTGGACCGATATTGCCCATTTTCAATACCAAACAAACTGCATCAATATAAAATATTTGTGCAAAATTTCAGCTCGCTAGCTGCTTCCGTTTGGACTCTATCGTGTTTTCAACAGACGGACAGACAGACGGACAGACGGACGGACATGGCTAGATCGTCTTAGAATTTAATGAGGATCCAGAATATATATACTTTTGTGGGTCTTAGATGAATATTTCGATGTGTTACAAACGGAATGACAAAAACAATATACCCCCCATCTTTTTTGATGGTGGGTATAAAAATATGTTTGCATAAAATAAGCAAAAGAGAAAGAGAAGTGTTAATTGCTTAAAATTGAAAGAAATAAAAAAGTTTAAATTAAGATAAAACTCATAAAAATACGGCAGCCTGCAAAAAATTTTGTTATAGAAAGAATAGATTTCCTATTAAATATCATAAAATTCTATTAAACTTCGCTAAACTCTGATTTTCGCAGTTTAACTAAACTTGGTTTTAACAAGTTTAAGGTTTAAAAATCAAGTTTTTGGACTTAGAACAACCATAGAAATATTGTTCTTAACTAAAATCTATACTTATGCATAAATTAAAAATGTTTATAGCATTTTCTGCTAAATAAGTGGCAACACTGAAAAAAATTTTATGGGAAAATAATTATATATTTGTGCACTATTATTTATAAGTACTTAATTTCATTAAACTCCCGTTTTCCAATTTTAACTAAACTTGGTTTAAACAAGTTTAAGGTTTAAAAGTCAAGTTTTTGGACTTAGAATAACCATAGAAATATTATACAAGACTAAAAAATATGATTTTGTAAAAATTTAACTTTTTTATAGCATTTGTTGCTAAATAAGTGGCAACACTGAAAAAAAATTTATGGGAAAATAATTATATTTTTATGAACTATTATTTATAAGTACTTAATTTCACTAAACTTAGTTTTTTTAAGTTTAACTAAACTTGGTTTAAACAAGTTTAAGGTTTAAAAATCAAGTTTTTTGACTTAGAATAACCATAGAAATATTATACAAGACTAAAAATTATGATTTTGTATAAATAAAACATTTTTATAGCATTTTCTGTTAAATAAGTGGCAACACTGAAAAAATTGTTATGGGAAAATAATTATATTTTTATGAACTATTATTTGTAAGTACTTAATTTCACTAAACTTTCGTTTTCCAAGTTTAACTAAACTTGGTTTAAACAAGTTTAAGATTTAAAAATCAAGTTTTTGGACTTAGAACAACCATAGAAATATTATACTAGACTAAAAAATATGATTTTGTAAAAATATAACTTTTTTATAGCATTTTCTGCTAAATAAGTGGCAACACCGAAAAAATTGTTATGGGAAAATAATTATATTATTATTAACTATTATTTATAAGTACTTAATTTCACTAAACTCTCGTTTTCCAAGTTTAACTAAACTTGGTTTAAACAAGTTTAAGATTTAAAAATTAAGTTTTTGGACTTAGAATAACCATAGAAATATTATACAAGACTAAAAAATATGACTTTGTAAAAATTTAACTTTTTTATAGCATTTTCTGCTAAATAAGTGGCAACACTGAAAAAAAATTTATGGGAAAATAATTATATTTTTATGAACTATTATTTATAAGTACTTAATTTCACTAAACTCTCGTTTTTCAAGTTTAACTAAACTTGGTTTAAACAAATTTAAGATTTAAAAATCAAGTTTTTTGACTTAGAATAACCATAGAAATATTATACAAGACTAAAAATTGTGATTTTGTATAAATAAAACATTTTTATAGCATTTTCTGCTAAATAAGTGGCAACACTGAAAAAAATTTTATGGGAAAATAATTATATTTTTATGAACTATTAGTTATAAGTACTTAATTTCACTAAACTCTCGTTTTCCAAGTTTAACTAAACTTGGTTTAAACAAGTTTAAGATTTAAAAGTCAAGTTTTTGGACTTAGAACAACCATAGAAATATTATACAAGACTAAAAAATATGATTTTGTAAAAATTTGACATTTTTATAGCATTTTCTGCTAAATAAGTGGCAACACTGAAAAAAATTTTATGGGAAAAGAATTATATTTTTATGAACTATTATTTATAAGTACTTAATTTCACTAAACTCTCGTTTTCCAAGTTTAACTAAACTTGGTTTAACAAAGTTTAAGTTCTAAAAATCATATGTTTGCTTTTAAAACGTTTCTAGAAATATTTTACAAAATAAATTTTGAAAATTTATCAAAATTTTTTTTACTTTTTTACAAATATCTACTAAAAATATGGCAACACTTAAAAAAAATTTATGGAAAATTAATATTATTTTTATTATACATTAGATAGGAGTATTAAATTTCGTTAAACTCTTGTTTTCCAAGTTTAACTAAACTCAGTTAAAGCCAGTTTAAGACTTTAAAATTAAATTTTAAGATTTTAAATTATTTCTATAATGATAAGGTTATTTAGAAAAACTGTTATTTTGTATATTTTTAGATACTGTGTTGAATTTGAGGTTTTAAGGACTTCCAAGGCTTGTCACAAATTGCCGCCCTACAATTTATTGATAGAAGGTAAAGAGAACTCAAAATCTTTCACTCTATTAACATTTTCTTTAGTAATAATCCCTCTCTCTCTCTCTCTCTCTCTTTTTAATCATTGTAAAGGTGATCGCATAGTAGTACGCTGTGACGTGGAAGCTTTCATCCAGGACTTTGCTGCCTCCACAGACAACAATCTAACTTCATCAACTTTGAAATCTAAACATCACAATGACTCGTTATACAATAAACTAGACTTAGGCACCAGTTCGACGGAGGAGGATTTAAATGACAGTGATGAAAATATGATCGACAATAGCAGCAGCAGCAGTAGTAGTAGTGATGAACATGATGATTACGATACGGCCTCATTAACGATTAAAACTACATCCACTACTACCACAACAACGACTACAACTACTACCACACCTTATCCACCGCCACAATCTATACAGTATCATTGTCGTGGCGAGGGTTTACCCGGTCGCACTACAAGATGGAGTGCTTTGGCAGCGCCCTCATGCCGAGGCAAATGGTTGAGATTGACTCTCGATACACCGAAAAAATGTACACATGCACAGTTTATATTCGTTTAAGGCAGAGCGTAAGCGGTATAGCGAGAGTGCTTAACTAGTTTTTTGTACAATTAGTTTGAAAAAAAAAATTATAAAAATTTACTAATAATTTCATTAAAATTTTAATTTTTCTTACAATTTTTATTAAAATTTTTATAAAAACCTTAAATTGTCTTAATTTGAAATCATATTTAGTAGTTAAACTTTCTTAAACTTTTGTTTTCCTAGTTTAACTAAACTTGGTTAAATTGAGTTTAAGGCTTGCAAATGCTATCAAACGTTTTTAAACATTTCTAAATCCTTTAAACAACATAAATTTTTAGCAGTGATGCCATATTTTTGCTATTTTTAAATCTTTATAACAAAAATATGGCAACCCCGAAATTTTAATTTTTACCAAAATGTTTATTTTTTATCCCTATTTTATAAAATGGGCTTAAATTTAGCTAAACTTTATTTTAATGATTTAACCTAAACCTAGTTTAACAAATTTTAAGACATTCTCTAAGACCAAATTTTATTTTAAAAAGATTTCTTATTATCCCTAAACCAGAGATACAAGCCGAGACGGTTTAAATCGGCGGCGGCTGGCCGCCGGTAATATTTTGCAAGCCGCACCGCCGCCGACTTCTTCCTGCTCAAAAGCTGATAAAAATTGGAATCGCATACGTATTTCAGAAAATAATTTCACTAATTTGAATGGAGTTGCCACTTTTTTAAATTCTTATGACTAATTGAAAAGAGTTGCCACACAATATTGTGCTAGTATTAAAATAGTGATAACTACTATAATAATGTTAATTTGTTGTAGAAAAAAACTTATATAGAGGTAGGTTTCTATAACAGACTATAATACAGAGATTTTTCAATATAATAAACGCTTATAAGGTCAATTTTTGAAGAAAAAGTAAAATTGAGCCGACAATTTAGCCGCCGCCGATATTTTCTATAATAAGCCGCCGACCTAAAATGGTTGCGCCGCCGCCGCCGATCATTTTGCATCGGCTTGTATCTCTGCCCTAAACTCAATTTATGCGGGAAATTCTTTAATTTTGGTTTTTTACAAAAATTCTGCGAAAAATATGGCAACACCCAAAAAAATTTGTCATACAAATTAAAAACTTTTGATGGAGTTTCATATTATGGGGTTATATTTCACTAAACTTTGTTTTTGCAAGTTTAACTAAACTCGGTTGATCCAAGTTTAAGTTTTTAAAAATCCAGAATTCGAATGTTTAATGTGTGCAAACATATTTTATAATAAAATTTTTTTAACTTTTTGCATTATTTAAGAATTTTTACGCAAAAAACTGCTAAAAATATGGCAACACCAAAAAAATTTTGTCATACTAATTAAAGACTTTTGATGAAGTTTCTTTTTGTGGTAAAATTTTGCACTAATCTTAGTTTTTTCAAGTTTAACTAAACTCAGTTAAAGCAAGTTTAAGGTTTAAAACCCCAAGTTTAAGATTCTTAGATATCTGTAATAACAATAAACAATATTATTTTTTTATTCAAACAATTATTTATTGATTTTTTATTACAATTTGTTTACTTTTCTCAAATTTTGTTAAAACTTTAAAGTCAATTAATTTTGTAACTTATTTGAAAGTTTATTTTAACATTTATTTCTCTTCAAACCTATACTCATACTTACATACATACATAATCACACAAAATGAAACCCTAATTATTTCATTATTATACTAAACTCACACATGATTATTTTTAAACTTTTACTAGCTTTAAGACTATAAAAAAAACTCATACTAATATTAACGGAATAAAAATAAATCTATAAAATTATAAGAAAAAAAAATATTGTTCATAATTATAAGTTTCATTCATCAGACAAAAAACAAACATTTAAAAAAATTACTCACGAAAAAACAAACATCACTTGATTAAACACACTAATGGGCAAACAAGGAGTAAAAATATATGAAAATTATATTAATAAATTTCCATAAATTTAAGCAAATGAAATAAATAATAATGTTTAGATTTACCTTTCTTTAAGAAAAAATCATATATTAAAACAAAAATATAAGTAATAATAACAACAACAAAAAATGATAAGAAAACAAATAAGTATGAATAAAAAAATATAATTTTAAATATAAAATTAAAAAAAATTATAGATTTTATTGCATAAGGGAAAAAATGTCAAGTAAGTAAGAATTAAACTATTTTATTAAGCTTATCAAATTTAATTACAAAACCAGTGCTAAATAATGAAAAATTTTCAAAATGAATCAGACAATTTTTAAAGATGTGCAAAATTTTTAAAATCAGGGGATTTCCTAGTTAAAAATCGATTACATTACAACAACTTACACAATAAGGCTTAATAGTATTCTAATTTTATATGATAGTTTTAACATTTTAGTCATATTTAACCATTTTTCTTTAAAATTCTGCGAAAAATATGGCAACTCTCCAAAAATTTTATTTACAAAATAAATATAATTTTATTGTCTTTCATATTAAGATGTTCAAATTCACTAAACTTCCGTTTTCCAAGTTTAACTAAACTCGGTTTAACAAAGTTTAGGGCTTGAAAATCTAGTTTTTAACTATTTACTAACAGTAGAATCGTTTTACGAAATAGTTTTTAAAATTTTTGCCATATTTTATCTTTTTTCTCTAAAACTTTGCAAAAAATATGGCAACACTATAAACATTTTAGGGTAAAAATAAATATAATTTTATTGCCTTTCATATTAAGGTGTTCAAATTCACTAAACTTCCGTTTTCCAAGTTTAACTAAACTCGGTTTAACAAAGTTTAGGGCTTGAAAATCTAGTTTTTAACTATTTACTAACAGTAGAATCGTTTTACGAAATAGTTTTTAAAATTTTTGCCATATTTTATCTTTTTTCTCTAAAACTTTGCAAAAAATATGGCAACACTATAAACATTTTAGTGTAAAAATAAATATAATTTTATTGTCTTTCATATTAAGACATTAAAATTCATTAAACTACCGTTTTCCAAGTTTAACTAAACTCGGTTTAACAAAGTTTAAGGCTTAAAAATCTAGTTTTCAACTGTTTAATAACAGTAGAATCGTTCTACGAAATAGTTTTTAAAATTTTTGACATATTTTATCTTTTTTCTCTAAAACTTTGCAAAAAATATGGCAACACTATAAAAATTTTTTAATAAATATAATTTTATTGTCTTTCATATTAAGGTATTCAAATTCATTAAACTACGGTTTTCCAAGTTTAACTAAACTCGGTTTAACAAAGTTTAAAACTTGAAAATCTAATTTTCAACTAGTTACTAACAGTAAAATCGTTTTACGAAATAGTTTTTAACATTTTCGTAATATTTTACCTTTTTGCTCTAAAATGCTGCTAAAAATATGGCAACACTGTAAACATTTTTGTGTGAATATAAATATAATTTTATTGTCTTTCATATTAAGGTATTCAAATTCATTAAACTACGGTTTTCCAAGTTTAACTAAACTCGGTTTAACCAAGTTTAAAGCTTGAAAATCTAGTTTTGAACTGTTTAATAACAGTAGAGTCGTTCTACGTAATGGTTTTGAACATTTTTGTAATATTTTACCTTTTTGGTCTAAAATGCTGCTAAAAATATGGCAACACTGTAAACATTTTTGTGTGAAAATAAATATAATTTGATTGTCTTTCTTATTAAAGTGTTCAAATTCACTAAACTTCATATTTCTGAGTTTAACTAATCTTGGTTTAACAAAGTTTAGGGCTTAAAAATCTAGTTTTCAACTGTTTAATAACAGTAAACCCGTTTTACCTAATAGTTTTTAACATTTTCTTAATATTTTACCTTTTTGCTCAACAATGCTGCTAAAAATATGGCAACACTGTAAACATTTTTGTGTGAAAATAAATATAATTTGATTGTCTTTCTTATTAAAGTGTTCAAATTCACTAAACTTCTTATATTCAAGTTTAACTAATCTTGGTTTAACAAAGTTTAAGGCTTAAAAATCTAGTTTTCAACTGTTTAATAACAGTAAACCCGTTTTACCTAATAGTTTTCAACATTTTCGTAATATTTTACCTTTTTGCTCAAAAATGCTGCTAAAAATATGGCAACACTGTAAACATTTTTGTATGAAAATAAATATAATTTGATTGTTTTTCTTATTAAAGTGTTCAAATTCACTAAACTTCTTATATCCAAGTTTAACTAATCTTGGTTTAACAAAGTTTAAGGCTTAAAAATCTAGTTTTCAACTGTTTAATAACATTAAACCCGTTTTACCTAATAGTTTTTAACATTTTCGTAATATTTTACCTTCTAGCTCAAAAATTTTGCCAAAAATATGGCAACACTGCAAAAATTTGTGTGTGAATATAAATATAATTTGATTGTCTTTCTTATTAAAGTGTTTAAATTCACTAAACTTCTTATATCCAAGTTTAACTAATCTTGGTTTAACAAAGTTTAAGGCTTAAAAATCTAGTTTTTAACTGTTTAATAACAGTAAACCCGTCTTATGTAATAGTTTTTAACATTTTTGTAATATTTTACCGTTTTGCTCAAAAATGATGCTAATTTGATTGTCTTATTAAAGTGTTCAAATTCACTAAACTTCTTATATTCAAGTTTAACTAATCTTGGTTTAACAAAGTTTAAGGCTTAAAAATCTAGTTTTCAACTGTTTAATAACAGTAAACCCGTTTTACGTAATAGTTTTTTATATTTTCGTAATATTTTACCTTTTTGCTCGAAAATTTTGCTAAAAATATGGCAACACTGTAAACATTTTTGTGTGAATATAAATATAATTTTATTGTCTTTCATATTAAAGTGTTTAAATTCACTAAACTTCTTATATCCAAGTTTAACTAATCTTGGTTTAACAAAGTTTAGGGCTTAAAAATCTAGTTTTCAACTTTTTTAACATTTTGTAATATTTTACCTTTTTTCTCAAAAATGCTGCTAAAAATATGGCAACACTGTAAACATTTTTGTGTGAATATAAATATAATTTTATTGCCTTTCATATTAAAGTGTTTAAATTCAATAAACTTCTTATATCCAAGTTTAACTAATCTTGGTTTAACAAAGTTTAGGGCTTAATAATCTAGTTTTCAACTTTTTTAACATTTCGTAATATTTTACCTTTTTGCTTAAAAATTTTGCTAAAACTATGGCAACACTGCAAAAATTTGTGTTTGCAAATAAATATAATTTCATAATCTTTCTTATTATGGTGTTCAAATTCACTAAACTTCATATTTCTAAGTTTAACTAAACTATGTTTAACAAAGTTTAAGGCTTAAAAATCTAGTTTTCAACTGTTTAATAACAGTAAACCCGTTTTACGTAATAGTTTTTTATATTTTCGTAATATTTTACCTTTTTGCTCAAAAATTTTGCTAAAAATATGACAACACTCTAAACATTTTTGTGTGAATATAAATATAATTTGATTGTCTTTCTTATTAAAGTGTTTAAATTCACTAAACTTCTCATATCCAAGTTTAACTAATCTTGGTTTAACAAAGTTTAAGGCTTAAAAATCTTGTTTTCAACTGTTTACTAACAGTAGAATCGTTTTACCTAATAGTTTTTAACATTTTCGTAATATTTTACCTTTTTGCTCAACAATGCTGCTAAAAATATGGCAACACTGTAAACATTTTTTGTGTGAAAATAAATATAATTTGATTGTCTTTCTTATTAAAGTGTTCAAATTCACTAAACTTCTTATATCCAAGTTTAACTAATCTTGGTTTAACAAAGTTTAGGGCTTAAAAATCTAGTTTTCAACTGTTTAATAACAGTACACCCGTTTTACCTAATAGTTTTTAACATTTTCGTAATATTTTACCTTTTTGCTCAACAATGCTGCTAAAAATATGGCAACACTGCAAAAATTTGTGTGTGAAAATAAATATAATTTTATTGTCTTTCATATTAAGATATTCAAATTCATTAAACTACCGTTTTCCAAGTTTAACTAATCTTGGTTAAATAAAGTTTAAGACTTAATAATAAAGTGTTCAACTGCTTAATAACACCAGAACCGTTTTACGGAATAGTCTTTTAAATTTTCGTAATATTTTAACTTCTTGCTCAAAAATTTTACTAAAAATATGGCAACTCTGTAAAAAAAATGGTGTGAAAATAAATATAATTTGATTGTCTTTCCTATTAAGGTGTTAAAAATCACTAAACTTCAGATTTCCAAGTTTAACTAATCTCGATTTAACTAAGTTTAACAATTTATAACTCCCAACTGTGGATTGAAAACAAATCATTAAAAAGTTCTTGTTAGAACACAAAAACGGTAAGTTTATTATATGTTAATTATAATTAATAACTCCCAGCACTGGCTTGTTTACATTTGCAACATAACTGCTATATCAACATAACAGTAGATGTAAAAGAATAACAATAACATACATAGAAAAAACTTAAAGTTGCCATATCAAAGCAATATAAACATCCAAGTAATTCCTTTAATCACCTACACATATTGTTAAAAAGACTAGTTTAAGTTGTTTTTGCTAGTTTCTTCATCGCTGCCCATAAAAATGACTACATAAAGTCTAAATGAAATAATTTTCTACAAAAAAACACCCCGTTATCAAATATTTGAAGCATAAAAAAGTCTTTGAAATAAAAAGTAAACAAAAAAATTCACATTAATACCAAGAAAAAAATTTATATTTTTTTTAAAGATAAGAAATTTTTTTCGCAAAAACAATTAATTGTATAAACAAATTAAAAATATTTTACTCATTTTATTATAATCTTAGCTTAATAAAAAAAAGAAAAAAACTCTGTATACATTTAGTTGAACTTGAGCTTATGAAACGTTAAGTATAGAAAATCATTTCAAATATATTAAAAAAAATTGCAATTTTTAAGGCAGAAAAAAAGTATAAAATTACAATTTAAAAATTTTAAAAAATTTCTGTGTGCGTTTAAGAAAAAATGTTTAAAATATTATTAATTTTATTTAATATTTATGTGATATTTGCTTATCCTTCGACAACATATTCACGTGGTAAGTTTTAGTGTTATTATTATGATTTAAAACACGGGCCGCGAAATTTTTTTCTAGGTCAAGTTTCAAGGTTAAAAATAAACAATTTAAAAACATCAACAAACCGAGGCAAATATTTGCAAAAATTATAACAACGAAATTAACAACACTTTTAGAGGCAAATTTATGAAAAACTTATATTGGTAATTTATCTTCTATTTATTACGAGTGATTTAATGCTATTCAATTTCACTAAACTTTCATTTTCCTAGTTTAACTAAACTTGGTTAAACTAAGTTTAAGGCCTAAAAATCTACTGTTTTACTGATAATTAATTATGGAATCAAGTTATAAGAAAAATTTTAATATTTTCAAAATATTTCTTTAAAATTCTGCTAAAAATATGGCAACATTGAAAATGTTTGTTCACAAAAATAAAACTTTTTTACTAAATATTCTTTCCCAAGTGTCAAATTTCACTAAACTTTCATTATCCTAGTTTAACTAAACTTGGTTAAACTAAGTTTAAGACCTAAAAATCTACAGTTTTACTACTTATTACTAATAGAAACAATTTATAAGTAATTTTTTTTAATTCTCGTAATTTTTCACAATTTTTCTTTAAAATTCTGCTAAAAGTAGTGTTAAATTTCACTAAAATTCCATTTTCCAAGTTCAACTAAACTTGGTTAAACTAAGTTGAAGACTGGAATGGAAGCATTTTATAAGGTTCATTTTAATAAAAAAAATTTCACAAAATTCTTCATAAAATATGGCAACATCAAAAAATTATTGTTAAACTTCCGATTTTAAAGTTTAACTAAACTCGGTTAAATCAAGTTTAAGGTTTTAAAATGCAGTTCAACAAAGTTTTAAACAACAAAATTAACTTTCCTACCTTTTAACTTGCTTTCCTTAGATCATTACAATGCCAAATGCACCGATCCCGAAACAAATCGAGAATTATATATTGGGGAAGTTTTCACCCGTCCCGGTCAATGCATACGTGTACAATGCTCGGGTTCTCTGAAATTATGGGAAGATAGGTAAAGTATTATTTATCAAAAAGAAAACATTATACAATTTATTTAAATTACCGTTTTTTTTTTTTTTTTTTTTGTCTAGTTGTCAAGTTCCCCAATTGGAGGGTGATTGTTATCGTTTGCCCGCCGCCAATGAGTTTCTCGATTTCCCTCGCTGTTGTCCCAATTACGAGTGTAAATCGTCTAAATCCGATGATAAAAGTACTACCGATGAGACACGTCTTTATAATCATATGGGCCGTTTGCTACGTGAGCATATCACCCAAAGGGTTAAGGTGATGATACATGCACCGCCATCAACCACAACTTTTAATTATACGGAGGGCGGGAGAACTGCAATAACGACGAGGACTGGTGGAGATCAGAAAGAGTATAAAATCAATAATTATAGTTAGAGAAAAAAATATATTTTTTTTCATTTTTCTTGAAGGGCTTACAAATTGTGTTAGTTGGCCAAAAAGAAGAAGGATTTTGTGAAGACCTGTTGCTTAGACGTTAAATAATTTAATAAAATTTATTTAAATTTCTTTAAAAAATTGAGAATTTGAATGGTAATTTATTTAAATGGTATAATTTCAATAAAATGAATTATATTAGTGTAGGAAATCCCAGGCTTGTGAGGTTTTTCAAGAGCGACATCTATATGTCATATATGTTTACATCCATTACCATATTAATAAATTAATCGATAACACTGTTTTATTTTTGACACTTGCACTGTTTTAGCTGTGAATGTTTTAATATATTACTGCCTTATCCTTATTTATATATTTTACCTTTAAAAAGTATTAATAAAAATTTATTTAAGATTTATTAATTCAGTAAATTAATGATATTAGTAAAAAAAATCACTAGGTCTGTTGCATTAAAATAGGTACCATTTATAAATAAGTTTTTCTACAGCAATTATCATATGAATAACATTACCGACAGCACTGCTTTGACTTTAACTATTAACATAAACACTGTTTTATCATTTAATATTTTTGCAAACACTGCACTGTTCATACTAGGGCTACCGAATTAAAACGAGATAAAAACGCCAGACAAATATTAAATAAAAACAAAAATGTCATAATTAACTATAAATAGTACTAAATTAACTATAATAGTAGTATTAAAATAAAACCTATTGTATCTTTTAACTATTTCAACAAACACAACATTGTCCTTACTAGAGCTACCATATTAAAACTAGATATTTGTGTAATGTAAACATTGTTATAAAAACAATAATTTGCTAAATTAATTATTAATAGTACATACCATGGATGAATCCTATAGTCCAAAACTTAATTTAATATACATTTTTTTGCGAAATTGTTTTATTTTTCTTTTAAGTAAACTTTAACACACAAACAGCCTTTCCTTTGTTATTTCCATCAACTTTTCTTACACTGCCTTATCAGCAATTACAACCTTGTCAAATGAATACAACCCTGTGTGCTGAAAAATACCACATTGTTTTCACGAACTTGAAAAAAACGGCAAAATTGCCGAACAACATCTGCATTTCTTCATCATACAATAAGAAAGAGATAAAAGAAAAACGACATTTTAACACACACTCTATTATTAAGCGGCGTTATTTTTTTGTGCAGTTCCCGGAAAAAACGCAAATTCCCATTATCCAATAAGGATTTTTGCTGAAATATAATTGAAAAATAAAGCAATTTTCCCCAGGAGTGAAATTAAAGAAGTAAGAAGTTTTTAAAATAAAATTAATAATAAATATAATAAAAGACTTCTAAAAAAAGTGAAAAAATGTGGTTGTGAGGTGTGTGCAAAAAAACGAAAAAAAAAATTGTTAAAAGGTTGCCAAATTCCAAATAGAATATTCTACAACAAAAACCAAAAATGAATGACAAGTAGTGACGCATGTGAAAAAGTCAATAAAATTTAATATTTGCCCAAAAAAGTTAATTATTATAACATAAAACATTTTATTTAAACACAAGATTTTTTGTAATTTCTTAATAAGAAAAAAAAAACTCAAGCTAAAGTTGGCGCGGACGCTAAAAAACTTGTGTTTCCATGTCTGCTGTCTTTCCTAAAGAATTCAAAGCTTTGCAGCGCTGCGGCAGAGCCTGTAGCAAAAGAACTAAAAAAACATGTGTTTTTCACAAAATTGTGTAAACCAAATTATTAAAAATTACACATTTTTAGCAAAACTCTATATCAAATAAAATCTCGTTTTTTTCTTAAAATTTTCAACAATTTATTTCATTAACACAAGTAAATTAAAAAATGTGGCCAATTCTTTACCCTCTTTTAATTGAGGTTATGTGCTAATTTTTTTTCTTTTCTTTTTAAACTTTTTCGCACTCAACTGTCAATTTTATTTTAATTTCATGGCTTTTTCATTTGTTTGTCTCTTGTCATATTGTTTGCTGTTAATTAACATTGTCTTAAACTGTTAATTAACAGTGCTTTATTGTTCAATTGTTTACCTAAAATTGTGTAAATATTAGCAATTTTTAAAGAGTTTTTTTAAGGTTTTTATTTATAATTTAAATAATCTTTAGATTTGTTTCATTTTATTAAGCAAGTCTATATTAGTTAATTTATTTACCATTAATATTATTTGGAATTTGGCGCCTTTTATATTGACCATGTACATACTAGATATTTTGTAAGGTCAGTTATAAACGCGTGTTTTTATAGGATGATTCACTCTTTGAGTATTTCAAGATGTTAACTGTTATGAATAATTCATTTTGTAATTATTTATAAAGAACAAAAGAAACAATACAAATTAGGAAGAACACAAGCCTAATTGATTTTTATCCAAATTTTAGAATAACATATAGACTCTTATAGAAAAAACTAGAGTCTAGTCTATAGAATAGGCTAGTGTCTAGTCTATGGAATAAGCTGGTGTCTAGTCTATAGAATAGACTAGAGTCTAGTCTATAGAATAGACTAGAGTCTAGTCTATAGAATAGACTAGAGTCTAGTCTATAGAATAGACTAGAGTCTAGTCTATAGAATAGACTAGAGTCTAGTCTATAGAATAGACTAGTGTCTAGTCTATAGAATAGACTAGTGTCTAGTCTATAGAATAGACTAGTGTCTAGTCTATAGAATAGACTAGTGTCTAGTTTATAGAATATACTAGTATCTAGTCTATAGAATAGACTAGTGTCTATAGAGTAGACTAGTGTCTAGTCTATAGAGTAGACTAGTGTCTAGTCTATAGAGTATACTAGTGTCTAGTCTATAGAATAGACTAGAGTCTAGTCTATAGAATAGACTAGAGTCTAGTCTATAGAATAGACTAGAGTCTAGTCTATAGAATAGACTAGAGTCTAGTCTATAGAATAGACTAGAGTCTAGTCTATAGAATAGACTAGAGTCTAGTCTATAGAATAGACTAGAGTCTAGTCTATAGAATAGACTAGAGTCTAGTCTATAGAATAGACTAGAGTCTAGTCTATAGAATAGACTAGAGTCTAGTCTATAGAATAGACTAGAGTCTAGACTATAGAATAGACTAGAGTCTAGACTATAGAATAGATTAGAGTCTAGTCTATAGAATAGACTAGAGTCTAGTCTATAGAATAGACTAGAGTCTAGTCTATAGAATAGACTAGTATCTAGTCTATAGAATAGACTAGTGTCTAGTCTATAGAATATAGACTAGTGTCTAGTCTATTGAATAGTCTAGTGTCTAGTCTATTGAATAGACTAGTGTCTTGTCTTTTAAAATAGACTTGTGTCTTGTCTATTGAATAGACTAGTGTCTAGTCTATAGAATAGACTAGTGTCTAGTCTATAGAATAGACTAGTGTCTAGTCTATAGAAAAGACTATTGTCTAGTCTATAGAATATACTAGTGTCTAGTCTATAGAATAAACTAGTGTCTAGTCTATAGAATAGACTAGTGTCTAGTCTATAGAATAGACTAGTGTCTAGTCTATAGAATAGACTAGTGTCTAGTCTATAGAATAGACTAGTGTCTAGTCTATAGAATAGACTAGTGTCTAGTCTATAGAATAAACTAGTGTCTAGTCTATAGAATAGACTAGTGTCTAGTCTATAGAATAGACTAGTGTCTAGTCTATAGAATAGACTAGTGTCTAGTCTATAGAATAGACTAGAGTCTAGTCTATAGAATAGACTAGAGTCTAGTCTATAGAATAGACTAGAGTCTAGTCTATAGAATAGACTAGAGTCTAGTCTATAGAATAGACTAGTGTCTAGTCTATAGAATAGACTAGTATAGAATAGACTAGTGTCTAGTCTATAGAATAGACTAGTGTCTAGTCTATAGAATAGACTAGTGTCTAGTCTATAGAATAGACTAGTGTCTAGTCTATAGAATAGACTAGTGTCTAGTCTATAGAATAGACTAGTGTCTAGTCTATAGAATAGACTAGTGTCTAGTCTATAGAATAGACTAGTGTCTAGTCTATAGAATAGACTAGTGTCTAGTCTATAGAATAGACTAGTGTCTAGTCTATAGACTAGGCTAGTGTCTTGTCTATAGACTGGACTAGTGTCTAGTCTATAGAATAGACTATTGTCTAGTCCATAGAATAGACTATTTTCTAGTCTGTAGAATAGACTAGTGTCTAGTCTGTAGTATAGTGTCTAGCCTATAGAATAGGCTAGTGTCTAGCCTATAGAATAGACTAGTATCTAGGCTATAGAATAGACTAGTATCTAGGCTATAGAATAGACTAGTGTCTAGTCTAAAGAATAGACTAATGTCTAGTCTACAGAATAGACTAGTTGCTAGTCTATAGAATAGACTAATGTCTAGTCTACTGAATAGACTAATGTCTAGTCTACTGAATAGACTAGTGTCTAGTCTACAGAATAGACTAATGTCTAGTCTACAGAATAGACTAATGTCTAGTCTATAGCATAGACTAGAGAGGTCTGTAGCATAGACTATAGTTGACTTTTTTCAAAACTATTTTTTGCAATTTTGTACAAAAATCATTAAGTCTCTCTTCCACTGTCACCATTATTAAATCTATAATTTACTTCCTCCTTTCCCAAAGTGTTTTTGTTTTTCTTTTTGTGTTAAAGAAAACACAAATTTAGCATCTGCCCAGCTAAAATTCTTAATAATTTGTAATTGTGCACACACACTCACAACTTTACCTACGAAATTGCTATAAGTACACAACAGTTATTGTACGAAGGACTCTTTTTCTTAGCACATCTGTTTTCCTCCCCTAAACAAACAACAGGCTGCCTACCCGCCACTACTTTGCTAATAAAAGGTTTTGTTCTTAAGTAATAGTTAAAGCAAATTTTACGCTTTAGTTTCTTGTCTTATGTTTTCTTTTTCCCTTTTGTTATTATTACTTTTGCTGTTTTCTCTTTTATTGCTTGATTCGGTTTAGGGGTTCCTTAACCAGTTTCTTTACTTGATAAAACTAGTCATCACTAGTCCTTGTTAAAGAAAGGATCTTCACTGGAAAAAAAAGCAAATTAAAACAAAATATTTTAAGGAAATTATCTAAGATAAAGAAGAAAATTTAATAAATTTATTTAGTTATAAAAAGTAAAGAAAACAAAAAAAAAAGTAATATTTTTTCTGGTTGAAATCCTGTTTAAATAAAGAAAAAAGTGTATGGAACTCTTTTCAACTACGAAATTAACAAACAAACGCGTTTGGTTTTAAAAATCAGGAATTTAGGGTAATAGTTAGGAAAGTGAGTTAAAAGAAGCAACAAAATATCTTATAATTTTTAATAAAAACTAATTAATTTTTACCTTCCCGCTCTCTTTACAGTATTTTTTTTACGCTCACCAAATTTTATTACATTTTGTTTATATATAATTTATAATAAATAATAAAATAAAAGATGGCCCAACAAGAACAAGATATTCCAACTTTCAAATGCGTTTTGGTTGGTGATGGTGGTACCGGCAAGACTACATTCGTCAAACGTCACATGACCGGTGAATTTGAAAAGAAATACGTTGCAACATTGGGTGTCGAAGTACATCCATTAATTTTCCACACTAATCGTGGTGCCATCCGTTTCAATGTCTGGGATACAGCTGGTCAGGAGAAATTTGGCGGTTTGCGCGATGGCTACTACATTCAGGGACAGTGTGCTGTTATTATGTTCGATGTAACATCACGTGTTACATACAAGAACGTACCAAATTGGCACAGAGATTTGGTGCGTGTTTGCGAGAACATACCAATTGTATTGTGTGGCAACAAAGTCGATATTAAGGATCGTAAAGTTAAGGCCAAGAGTATTGTATTCCACAGAAAGAAGAATTTGCAAGTAAGTTGATTTATAAGTTTGTAATGTCTTAAGTATTTGATCTATAGTATTGATCAGTTTATGAGCTATAGTATAGTTTAGCTCACTCTTTGATCTATAGTATAGTTTAGATCAGTATCTAATCTATTCTATAGATCAATCTCTGATCTTTTCTATCAATCTGTCTCTCTATTCGGTACCTTCTTTATTTACATTCATAATTTTTCTACATTCTAGTACTATGACATCTCTGCCAAATCAAATTACAACTTTGAAAAGCCCTTCCTCTGGTTGGCCCGTAAATTGGTAGGTGATCCCAATTTGGAATTTGTGGCTATGCCCGCTTTACTGCCCCCAGAAGTCAAAATGGACAAGGATTGGCAATTACAAATCGAAAGAGATTTACAAGAAGCTCAAGAAACCGCCTTACCCGACGAGGATGAGGATTTGTAAATTTCCTTTTAAGACCCCAACAACAACAACACCCCCTACAACAACCACACTTTACATATTATTATTTGTTAAAAGAAAGTTGTAAATTCCTTTAATATCTCCAGGGAATTATATGTTTCTTTGTTCCATATTAAGCAACTTAAAAAAAAAAAACCTTTATAAGATTTTATTACAAAAACCAGCTAAAAAACTACAACAGAAGCTTAATTATTATAAATTTAAATTAAAAAAGAAAAGAAATAATTAAAAGAAGAAAACACACAAAATCTAATTTTAAAAAATTCAATAAAAATACAAAAGAAAACCTATTCAATAATGTTGTTCACTTTTTGCGCGGTATTTGTATAGTTTAAGGTTTTGCTGAGATTTGTTAAAAAAAAAACTCTTTAGAATTCTTTTTCTTTACATTCTTAAGCTATTCTAAAGCTCTGTACTGTTTTTTTTATTACTTTTCTTTAGTTTGTATATTTTTTTATATAAATATTTTTCTATTTTTTTTTGTAATTTATTCTGTATTTCTATCCAAAACATAATAATAATTGAATTTTTTGAATTTAATGAAAAATTACAAGATATTGGGGTTTTTCTTATCTTTTTTGGTCAAAATTTCTGAGAAAGTAGTTTAACTATCTGACTTAAAGATTGTAAACTATAGATCTATACTATAGATCAGTGTCTGATCTATACATATAGATCAGTGACTGATCTATACTTATAGATCAGTGTCTGATCTATACTTATATCTCGGTGTATGATCTATACTATAGATCAGTGTCTGATCTATACTATAGATCAGTGTCTGATCTATACTATAGATCAGTGTCTGATCTATACTATAGATCAGTGTCTGATCTATACTATAGATCAGTGTCTGATCTATACTATAGATCAGTGTCTGATCTATACTATAGATCAGTGTCTGATCTATACTATAGATCAGTGTCTGATCTATACTATAGATCAGTGTCTGATCTATACTATAGATCAGTGTCTGATCTATACTATAGATCAGTGTCTGATCTATACTATAGATCAGTGTCTGATCTATACTATAGATCAGTGTCTGATCTATACTTATAGATCAGTGTCTGATCTATACTTATAGATCAGTGTCTGATCTATACTTATAGATCAGTGTCTGATCTATACTTATAGATCAGTGTCTGAACTATACTTATAGATCAGTATCTGATCTATACTTATAGATCAGTGTCTGATCTATACTTATAGATCAGTGTCTGATCTATACTTATAGATCAGATTAGTGTCTGATCTATACTTATAGATCAGTGTCTGATCTATACTCATAGATCAGTGTCTGATCTATACTCATAGATCAGTGTCTGATCTATACTTATAGATCAGTGTCTGATCTATACTATAGATCAGTGTCTGATCTATACTATAGATCAGTGTCTGATCTATAATATAGATCAGTGTCTGATCTATACTTATAGATCAGTGTCTGATCTATACTTATAGATCAGTGTCTGATCTATACTTATAGATCAGTGTCTGATCTATACTTATAGATCAGTGTCTGATCTATACTTATAGATCAGTGTCTGATCTATACTTTAGATCAGTGTCTGATCTATACTTATAGATCAGTGTCTGATCTATACTATAGATCAGTGTCTGATCTATACTTATAGATCAGTGTCTGATCTATACTTATAGATCAGTGTCTGATCTATACTCATAGATCAGTGTCTGATCTATACTTATAGATCAGTGTCTGATCTATACTCATAGATCAGTGTCTGATCTATACTTATAGATCAGTGTCTGATCTATACTTATAGATCAGTGTCTGATCTATACTTATAGATCAGTGTCTGATCTATACTTATAGATCAGTGTCTGATCTATACTTATAGATCAGTGTCTGATCTATACTTATAGATCAGTGTCTGATCTATACTTATTGATCAGTGTCTGATCTATACTTATAGATCAGTGTCTGATCTATACTTATAGATCAGTGTCTGATCTATAATATACTTATAGATCAGTGTCTGATCTATAATATACTTATAGATCAGTGTCTGATCTATATTATACTTATAGATCAGTGTCTGATCTATACTATAGATCAGTGTCTGATCTATACTTATAGATCAGTGTCTGATCTATACTTATAGATCAGTGTCTGATCTATACTATATTTAAAGATCAGTGTCTGATCTATACTATACTTATAGATCAGTGTCTGATCTATACTTATAGATCAGTGTCTGATCTATACTTATAGATCAGTGTCTGATCTATACTTATAGATCAGTGTCTGATCTATACTTATAGATCAGTGTCTGATCTATACTTATAGATCAGTGTCTAATCTATACTTATAGATCAGTGTCTGATTTATATTTATAGATCAGTGTCTGATCTATACTTATAGATCAGTGTCTGATCTATACTTATAGATCAGTGTGTGATCAATACTTATAGATCAGTGTCTGATCTATACTTATAGATCAGTGTCTGATCTATACTTATAGATCAGTGTCTGATCTATACTTATTGATCAGTGTCTGATCTATACTTATAGAACAGTATCTGATCTATACTTATAGATCAGTGTCTGATCTATACTTATAGATCAGTGTCTGATCTATACTTATAGATCAGTATCTGATCTATACTTATATATCAGTATCTGATCTATACTTATATATCAGTGTCTGATCTATACTATACTTATAGATCAGTGTCTGATCTATACTTATAGATCAGTGTCTGATCTATACTTATAGATCAGTGTCTGATCTATACTTATAGATCAGTGTCTGATCTATACTTATAGATCAGTGTCTGATCTATACTTATAGATCAGTGTCTGATCTATACTTATAGATCAGTGTCTGATCTATACTTATAGATCAGTGTCTGATCTATACTTATAGATCAGTGTCTGATCTATACTTATAGATCAGTGTCTGATCTATACTTATAGATCAGTGTCTGATCTATACTTATAGATCAGTGGCTGATCTATACTTATAGATCAGTGTCTGATCTATACTTATAGATCAGTGGCTGATCTATACTTATAGATCAGTGTCTGATCTATACTTATAGATCAGTGTCTGATCTATACTTATAGATCAGTGTCTGATCTATACTTATAGATCAGTGTCTGATCTATACTTATAGATCAGTGTCTGATCTATACTTATAGATCAGTGTCTGATCTATACTTATAGATTAGAGTCTGATCTATACTACATAGATCAGTGTCTGATCTATACTATAGATCATTAGCTGATCTATATTATAGATCAGTGTCTGATCTATACTGTAGATCAGTGTCTGATCTACTATACAGATCGGTCTCTAATCTATTTATACCATAGATCAGTCTCTGATCTATACTTAACTGGCTAAATTTGCTAGATTTTTTGTTAAATTTTAAATCTTTATTTAAAAATTTCAAAACATTCCTTTATAATTCTCATTTAGTTTAACATTTAACACAACAAGCTGGGAATACGCCATTATAATTGTTCTTATTCTCACAAGTTACAGGGAAGGTTTTACATCTGAAATTTTTAATTAAAAAATATTAGAAAATTTCCAATGAATAATTACTTTTTTTCTTACTCTTCAATTTGATTGGTAAAAGTTTCGCTGCAAGTCACCTTCTTTAAACATTTACCATCCTTACCAAAGTCTACATATTCTTCACCTTTCTTGGTATAAGGAAAATATTTCAAGAAAATCATTTCATCTTCAGCATTCTTATAACCACAAACCGGCTGGGAAGTGCCACTGGAAACTAAATCAAATTTTCTATTAAAAAAATTAAAAAACAAATTATTTCACAAAATTCACAAACCTGATATTTGATTAACAAATACAGCCACCAATAAAACGGTTAATCCCAAAATTAATTTCATTTTGTTTAAAAAAATTAAATAAATTTTAAATTTAATATTCCTCCAACACTTGTTGTATTTGAAATGAATTGTATTTTAGAAAACTGGTAGCTTTTTATACGCTCTTGTCTTAATTTTAATTAAGCATTTAATAAGAAAATTAACAACAAAAATAAACAAAAAGCTGCACAAATATAAACAAATTAATATGAATATAAGTGTAGTATAATTAAACCTAGATTGTTTATTGTAAATCTAGCTAAAGTCTTAATGAAGGTGATTAGATCATAGATGATTTATTTTTTTTTTTTTTTGTTATTTTTACACAGCATCTGCCGACACTATTTTTTATTAAATGAGATCAAAATGCAAGAAAAAGTGATAAGAGGCGAAACGAAAATTGCACTACACTTAGCATAGACTATGGTCCATTCTATTGACTATGATTAAGCCTATTCTATTGACTTAGCTTTAGCCTATTCTATAGACTAGACTTTAGTCTATTCTACAGCCTAGACTTTAGTCTATTCTACAGCCTAGACTTTAGTCTATTCTATAGACTAGACTTTAGTCTATTCTATAGACTAAACTTTAGTCTATTCTATAGACTAAACTTTAGTCTATTCTATAGACTAAACTTTAGTCTATTCTATAGACTAAACTTTAGTCTATTCTATAGACTAAACTTTAGTCTATTCTATAGACTAAACTTTAGTCTATTCTATAGACTAGACTTTAGTCTATTCGATAGACTAGACTTTAATCTATTCTATAGATTAGACTTTAGTCTATTCTATAGACTATAGACTATATAGTCTATTCTATAGACTAGACTTTAGTCTATTCTATAGACTAGACTTTAGTCTATTCTATAGACTAGACTTTAGTCTATTCTATAGACTAGACTTTAGTCTATTCTATAGACTAGACTTTAGTTTATTCTATACACTAGACTTTAGTCTATTCTATAGACTAGACTTTAGTCTATTCTATAGACTAGACTTTAGTCTATTCTATAGACTAGACTTTTGTCTATACTATAGACTAGACTTTTGTCTATACTATAGACTAGACTTTAGTCTATTCTATAGACTAGACTTTAGTCTATTCTATAGATTAGACTTTAGTCTATTCTATAGACTAGACTTTAGTCTGTTCTATAGACTAGACTTTAGTCTATTCTATAGACTAGACTTTAGTCTATTCTATAGACTAGACTTTAGTCTATTCTATAGACTAGACTTTAGTCTATGCTATAGACTAGACTTTAGTCTATTCTATAGACTAGACTTTATTCTATACTATAGACTAGACTTTAGTCTATGCTATAGACTAGACTTTAGTCTATGCTATAGACTAGACTTTAGTCTATTCTGTAGACTAGTCTTTAGTCTATTCTATAGACTAGACTTTAGTATATTCTATAGACTAGACTTTAGTCTATTCTATAGACTATACTTTAGTCTATTCTATAGACTAGACTTTAGTCTCTTCTATAGACTAGACTTTAGTCTATTCCATAGACTAGACTTTAGTCTATTCTATAGACTAGACTTTACTCTATTCTATAGACTAGACTTTAGTCTATTCTATAGACTAGACTTTAGTCTATTCTATAGACTAGACTTTAGTCTATTCTATAGACTAGACTTTAGTCTATTCTATAGACTAGACTTTAGTCTATTCTATAGACTAGACTTTTGTCTATTCTATAGACTAGACTTTTGTCTATTCTATAGACTAGACTTTAGTCTATTCTATAGACTAGACTTTAGTCTATTCTATAGACTAGACTTTAGTCTATTCTAAGACTAGACTTTAATCTATTCTATAGACTAGACTTTAGTCTATTCTATAGACTAGACTTTAGTCTATTCTATAGACTAGACTTTAGTCTATTCTATAGACTAGACTTTAATCTATTCTATAGACTAAACTTTAATCTATTCCATAGACTAGACTTTAGTCTATTCTATAGACTAGACTTTAGTCTATTCTATAGACTAGACATTAGTCTACTCTATAGACCAGACTTTAGTTTACTCTATAGACCAGACTTTAGTTTACTCTATAGACCAGACTTTAGTCTACTCTATAGACTAGACTGTATAGACCAGACTTTAGTCTACTCTATAGACCAGACTTTAGTCTACTCTATAGACCAGACTTTAGTCTACTCTATAGACCAGACTTTAGTCTACTCAATAGACCAGACTTTAGTCTACTCTATAGACCAGACTTTAGTCTACTCTATAGACCAGACTTTAGTCTATAGACTAGACTTTAGTCTATAGACTAGACTTTAGTCTATAGACTAGACTTTAGTCTATTCTATAGACTAGACTTTAGTCTATTCTATAGACTAGACTTTAGTGTATTCTAGACTAGACTTTAGTCTATTCTATAGACTAGACTTTAGTCTATTCTATAGACTAGACTTTGGTCTATTCTATAGACTAGACTTTAGTCTATTCTATAGACTAGACTTTAGTCTATACTATACACGAGACTTTAGTCTATACTATAGACTAGACTTTAGTTTATTCTATAGACTAGACTTTAGTCTATTCTATAGACTAGACTTTAGTCTATTCTATAGACTAGACTTTAGTCTATTCTATAGACTAGACTTTAGTCTATTCTATAGACTAGACTTTAGTCTATTCTATAGACTAGACTTTAGTCTATTCTATAGACTAGACTTTAGTCTATTCTACTTTCTATAGGCTAGACTTTAGTCTATTCTTTAGACTAGACTTTAGTCTATTCTATAGACTAGACTTTAGTCTATTCTATAGACTAGACTTTAGTCTATCCTATAGACTAGACTTTAGTCTATGCTATAGACTAGACTTTAGTCTATTATTTAGACTAGTCTTTAGTCTATTGTATAGACTAGACTTTAGTATATTCTATAGACTAGACTTTAGTCTATTCTATAGACTAGACTTTAGTCTATTCTATAGACTAAACTTTAGTCTATTCTTTAGACTAGACTTTAGTCTATTCTATAGACTAGACATTAGTCTATTCTTTAGACTAGACTTTAGTCTATTCTATAGACTAGACTTTAGTCTATTCTTTAGACTAGACTTTAGTCTATTCTATAGACTAGACTTTAGTCTATTCTATAGACTAGACTTTAGTCTATGCTATAGACTAGACTTTAGTCTATTATTTAGACTAGTCTTTAGTCTATTGTATAGACTAGACTTTAGTATATTCTATAGACTAGACTTTAGTCTATTCTATAGACTAGACTTTAGTCTATTCTATAGACTGGACTTTAGTCTATTCTATAGACTAGACTTTAGTCTATTCGATAGACTAGACTTTAGTCTATTCTATTAAATAGACTAGACCTTAGTCTATTCTATTCAATAGACTAAACTTTAGTCTATTCTATTCTATAGACTAGACTTTAGTCTATTCTATTGACTAAGCTTAAGCCTATTCTATAGACTAGACTTTAGTCTATTCTATAGACTAGACTTTAGTCTATTCTATAGACTAGACTTTAGTCTATTCTATAGACTAGACTTAGTCTATTCTATAGACTAGACTTTAGTCTATTCTATAGACTAGACTTAGTCTATTCTATAGACTAGACTTTAGTCTATTCTATAGACTAGACTTTAGTCTATTCTATAGACTAGACTTTAGTCTATTCTATAGACTAGACTTTAGTCTATTCTATAGACTAGACTTTAGTCTATTCTATAGACTAGACTTAGTCTATTCTATAGACTAGACTTTAGTCTATTCTATAGACTAGACTTTAGTCTATTCTATAGACTAGACTTTAGTCTATTCTATAGACTAGACTTTAGTCTATTCTATAGACTAGACTTTAGTCTATTCTATAGACTAGACTTTAGTCTATTCTATAGACTAGACTTTAGTCTATTCTATAGACTAGACTTAGTCTATTCTATAGACTAGACTTTAGTCTATTCTATAGACTAGACTTTAGTCTATTCTATAGACTAGACTTTAGTCTATTCTATAGACTAGACTTTAGTCTATTCTATAGACTAGACTTTAGTCTATTCTATAGACTAGACTTTAGTCTATTCTATAGACTAGACTTTAGTCTATTCTATAGACTAGACTTTAGTCTATTCTATAGACTAGACTTTAGTCTATACTATAGACTAGACTTTAGTCTATTCTATAGACTAGACTTTAGTCTATGCTATAGACTAGACTTTAGTCTATTCTATAGACTAGACTTTAGTCTATTCTATAGACTAGACTTTAGTCTATTCATAGACTAGACTTTAGTCTATTCTATAGACTAGACTTTAGTCTATTCTATAGACTAGACTTTAGTCTATTCTATAGACTAGACTTTAGTCTATTCTATAGACTAGACTTTAGTCTATTCTATAGACTAGACTTTAGTCTATTCTATAGACTAGACTTTAGTCTATTCTATAGACTTTCTATAGACTAGACTTTAGTCTATTCTATAGACTAGACTTTAGTCTATTCTATAGACTAGACTTTAGTCTATTCTATAGACTAGACTTTAGTCTATTCTATAGACTAGACTTTAGTCTATTCTATAGACTAGACTTTAGTCTATTCTATAGACTAGACTTTAGTCTATTCTATAGACTAGACTTTAGTCTATTCTATAGACTAGACTTTAGTCTATTCTATAGACTAGACTTTAGTCTATTCTATAGACTAGACTTTAGTCTATTCTATAGACTAGACTTTAGTCTATTCTATAGACTAGACTTTAGTCTATTCTATAGACTAGACTTTAGTCTATTCTATAGACTAGACTTTAGTCTATTCTATAGACTAGACTTTAGTCTATTCTATAGACTAGACTTTAGTCTATTCTATAGACTAGACTTTAGTCTATTCTATAGACTAGACTTTAGTCTATTCTATAGACTAGACTTTAGTCTATTCTATAGACTAGACTTTAGTCTATTCTATAGACTAGAGTTTAGTCTATTCTATAGACTAGACTTTAGTCTATTCTATAGACTAGACTTTTGTCTATACTATAGACTAGACTTTAGTCTATTTTATAGACTAGACTTTAGTCCTATTCTATAGACTAGACTTTAGTCTATACTATAGACTAGACTTTAGTCTATTCTA